AAAAATAATATCAAAATATTAAAATCATATAAAATACAGAAATGATATAAAGTACTGAAATGATATCATAAAGTATGAAAATAATATCATAAAGTAAAGAAATGATATCATAAAATACTAAAATAATATCATAAAGAAATGATATCATAAAGTATGAAAATAATATCATAAAGTAAAGAAATGATATCATAAAATACTAAAATAATATCATACAGTACAGAAATGAGGTACTCAAAAAAGTCTCAAAATAATATAAAATATGGAAATGGTATAAAGTACAAAAATTATTTCATAAAATTACAGAAATGATATCATTAAGACAAATGAAGAGATAACTACAGATAAACTCTTTAACCTTTATTCATCATTAATATTTATCATAATTAATGAATAAAATTGGCTTTTTGTGCTCATGAATTTTTAAAAAATCTTTTCCCAAGTGCTTATCCATTAATTCTCACCTCGTTTTCCTTTTGCATTTAGTTTAAAATGACTTTGAAGTATATACTCACAGAGATGATTATATATAAATTGATTTTCTATATCCATAATCAATGGTAATTAATTATAGCGATATCCTTTGAAGGAAGTTGGCAATCATTGTTCCATGCTGGTTTATCTGCTTCTTAATGAAGCAATGTATATTTATTATTGCTCTTGGCATTTTACAGTGGCGCTTAACAACTATATTCTTCATTTTGATTGGGTGCAAATTTAACATCAAACAAATAATTTCTTTTTCTTTATTTTGTAAGCATTACTTAGTTTGGCATAAGGCTGAAAGCTACGACAGCCCCTTCTGAGCAGTTACCTATCTAAGTATTAACACTGATAAACTTCTGTGTTAGGCTAAAAAAACACTTTCACTGTACAATTAACCTGTTTTTTCACATCAGTGAATTTTCTTTTTTCCAATGAGTTGTAAAACAAAATTTATTTGCCTTATTTACCAGGTAATTGAACACAGTTTATAGCTAATTTCTGTAATTAAAAAAATTTTTTTTAAAAAGCCTTACCTTCATAAGAGTCCAATTAATTTCATTTTTTGCCTTAAGCTTAAATCAAACTTAAACCTATTGTTCGCCTATGATTTTTCATCCAATCAAAAATCATTTCCGGGCCTTAAGTGGAAGTGTTAACTTTGTATCTACTACACTCATATTAATACAGTAAACAAAAAGAAATTTTCTTTTCTTCATCTGGGACACCTCCCCAAGTATGGGTTAAATAGTAGGACTTGTGTCTGGAAAAATCATTGTTATCTCCAAAATACTGTTAATGCAATATTCAATCTCAAAAAAATAGAATTGTTCTTACAATCCCCAAAATATGTTTTAGCTTTATATAACCCAGAAAGGGTTGATAAGTCATAAAAAACAAATCAATCAATCATGATTCCAGATATTTGCTTACTACAACTTTCTTTTCCTCAACATTTTTATTTTCTTTTTCTCATTCCCACTGCAACATATATTTAATTATATTTCCTTTCTCTCTCTTTCCTCCCTCCCTCCCTCTCTTTCTCTCTCCCCTTCTTTTTCCCTCTCCCCTTCCCTCTCCCATCCTCTTTCTCCTTCTCTTTCTCTCTCTTCCTTAAACTCCCCTGTGAGCAGTTTCCATAGTTACTAGATTTTAGTGGGGTGGGGCATTGCCAGTCCCACACCCAATTGATTTTTAATTCATAGTTGTCCTTCTCCTAGACTAGTTGACTAGTCTTCCTTGCTATTTAACCCATAGCTGGGGAGGAGAAGTGATATCCAAAGATATTTGTGCAAAAAATGAATATACTGAACTCAACTGGTATTTGAATCCAGCTAAGTCGTTTCTCTTCACGAGTTGCTAACCACTACACTACCTATACATCCATCTGATTATTACTTACATTAACTGTCATTATTCTTCTTAGAACATGCTACAACTTTGTTTAGATATCAGTTTATTACTAGAATTTCCTCACACATCTAAAATTTTTTATTTCATTTATTATTGTACTTATTAAGTTGAATCTTGTATTGTATGTTGTCAAATTTTGTGTCAGCACTGGCTCAGATCTGAGCATTGGGATCAGCATCCTCTCTCTCTCTTTCTCTCTCCTCTGAATCAAAAACTGGCGCTTTCTTTTTTCTGCCAGTTTGTCATCTGAGATTGTATAAATCTTTGCCTATTCCATCGCTGGGGTCTTTGAAGATTGGTCTCATTTACTCTGGTCCTTCCTCTTCTACCTTACCACCATGGGTGACCCTATAGGAATTGGATCACTTTGCTCTTGGGATCACCGGGACAAGTAAGCCTTCTACGATGAGACAGACCGATTATATATATTTTAGACTGAATTTTATGTCAGCACTGGCTCAGATCCGAGCATTGGGATCATCATCCTCTCTATCGTTCTCTCCTCTGTGAATCAAAGAGTCATTCATGTAGATTTGATTTTGGTGGATAACTCTGCATGATGGAGAAACCCACTCACTTGGCCAGAAGCACCTTCCTCACAGTTCAAATGGGATTGAGACAGGTGAGATCTGGCAAACCTGGTCGTATCAGGCTGTTGGATGCTTTTGGTCTGTCAAGGTCCATCCTGATTATGTCAGCCTGACTGGTGCTGCTCTCTTCTGCTGGTTTGGTCACAGAGATCGTGGGGGTTGGTCCTGTTCATTCGGCTCCTTCTTTGACCTTACTGCCAAGGGTGTCTCTACAGGTGTTGGAACTCCAGACAGCTTCGCTCTTGGGATCACTGGGACAACTAGGCCCTTTACCATGACAAGGAATGGCCATATATATTTTAGACTGGATGTCAGAGTGAATGATTTGTTATCAAAAGTACTATGACTTATTAATATTTTAATGACAACTAGCCGCATGGCTCGGTGTTGCCCATGCTTGATTCAAAAATCATACCACTCATACAGCAATCACTATCACTTGACTTAAAATATTTTTGCCCTTCCTTGCCTTTAAAGGAGTGCCCTTTGAAGTGCTGATGTTGCTACATGCCTTACTTCTTGCCTATCTCACACAGCAAATTTTTTCTAAGCTCTATACTAAACATTAAATCTGTTATGAAAAATTAACTAAACAAAAGGAACACAAAATGATCAGCTTTAAAAAAGGACTCGTAACTGGAAAAACCGAATGAAAAAAGAATGTTAACAACAAATACTTTTTCACACCCAACCCAGTTCTGTGGAATCAAAATCAACGTTGAATTTAAGCAAGCGAATGAGCCAACTGGAGTAAAGTGTCATGCAGATTTAAATTTTTCCCACTTGTGATGAATGCAGCTATCGATTTTGTTTTGCATGCTAGCATGCTAGCATGATAGTTAACATTCGTGTCAGTCAGCTATTGGCTCTCAAGCTGGCCAATAGAATCTTCCTACCTATTCATGGCAGCCAGCTATAGGCTCTCACTCTGGCCAGTACAAAATGGCTACAAACTACATGAAAAATGCCGTAGAAGCATGAAAAAAACGATTATTTCCACTATCAATGGGAGTTGGGAAATGCAAAGTCAGTCTTGGCATTTCTTGGAGCATGTACATGTAAATTTTGGTGCAAATCCATTGAAAATTGCAACCGTGCATTTGTTACACACACACACACACACATCCTGCCTTTTATAGATAGAGATAATAGAAACAAATCAATAAATGAGAAAAGAATAAAACTAATAAAAGTATAAAATTATCATTAAATATATGAGAACATTTTTTATTATTATTATTTTATTATTTATATTTAATTTAAATCTATGTTAATTAAATGTTGATTTTTATACTATTCATGCCAATGTTGTTTACACTCATATATCAAATGTGAATATGTAGAGAAATTTCTCTCATTTGGTAAGTTATCAGCTTATAAAGATTTTCATTTTCATGTAGCTTTATTGAAGATAAATTTTAATGTAAATTTTTTTGCTGCTTATACTGGAATGAGAGCAGTTGTTTGTTCTTGGTAATGAGTTGTAAGTTGAAGATTGATTCTTCTAAAGAAAAGTGCAACATTCCAAGTTGAAATTTTCATGCTGGTTAAGACTTACAAAAATTCCTAGTTCCATATTGGAAAAAAGAAAATGGCAGCTTACTTCATCAATTGAAATACCTCAGCATCTTCCACCTGGAGAGCTCCACCTGGAGTGCTTCTTTGGTTATGATCCAAGCTGAGATTCCCAACCTCTCCAGTTTGTTTTTGGCCTTCTTTTTTCATCTTGACTGGGTCAGTTTATTTTATTTTTCTCTCTCCCTTACTGAAAGAGCCTCTTGATTTTGTTTGAAGACAGAATACAGCGGTCTCTCTCATTTCTTTTGAGGGTAAGACGGGTCCTACTAACATCAATTATTTTTAGTTTATGTGTTTTGGTATATTTTAGTTTGGTTTCAGGTTCATCCCCTCCCAACTCATTGCTTATCATTGATAAATTTTGATACATAATTTTATATTCAAGAATTTTTATGTCATAGGATGTTTTATAGGTTCCCCCCATGTGTATGTGTGTGTTGAGGAGTGAATAATGATGGGCGAGTTTTTGTGATGGTTGTGTAAATTGTAACAAATGAATGGGTTGTGAGTTGGACTAACAAGGTATAACATAGTTAGTGTCAACCAGCCTTAACCCATCGACCCTTTGTGGCCTTGTGCCACATTTGTTGTATGTTAATGCAATAAATCTCAAGTTCCACCTGGGGTGCCAGGAGGAGAATATTTTGGTGCAGAGTGGACACTGTTGTAGCGGCAGCTCCATGCTGAATCCTCTCCTCTCCCTTCCCCCAACTGGCTATGACCAGTTAAGATTGGAAAGAGACTGAGTAGAAGCACTCAGGTTACCCACATTAAAAAATAACCTTGTGTCACATCCTTTTTCCAGTTTTTTCAAGGTAAATATCGGCTCTCTTCCCCCCTACCAAGGGTTAGTTGCTTATCCTGTCACCTTGACAGATATGATCACCTCCCTGACCAGAAGAGTTGCTGGAAGGAAATAGAAGCAATTTCCACCTTTTGATGTTAAAATCTTCCTACCTGTTTTTGTTCTTGTTCATTTTTGCTTTCTTTTCCCCTTTTCTCCTCTTCTTTTATGGAAAGATGCAGACATTGCCTTTCTTTCTTTTCTCTGATTACTCTCTTTCTTGGGAAGATGCAGTGAGTCTGATCTCCTTTTCTTATCTTTGCTTTCTACCCTGTATTTGGATGGTTGAGTTAATCCATTTCATCTATGTCAAGCAAACCTAAACCTTACTTTGTTTGAATTCTTTCTTGTTGCCTTATTCATTGTTTTTGCATGTTAATTCTCTTAACGTTCATTCACAAAAACACCATCATTATGCTCTATGTTATCATGTTTGGTGGCTTTTTTCATCGGCATATTGCCATTTTGAATTCAACCTGGCATCATGGCATCTTCATTTGGTTTCCCACCAAATTTCTGGATTTGCATCACAACATGTCACGTGTGACATCTTTTTCAGCATGCCTCCATTTTTGAGTTCCCAATTCATTTCATTCAAGTGATTTCTTTTGAGTTTAACTTTTCCTTATATCGAGGACCATAACACATGAACATTCTAAAGACTTACCACTTGGTTACCATGCTGCTTTTTCTGGACTACTAATTTAACCACATTTGCATATATACACATTCACACTTCAGAACATTTTTACATGTTTTTAATATTTCATCCTCTTACCAGGTGGTGACTCCTTTCAGTTCTAACAAATCAACAAATGTATATATTTCTAATTAAGTTGTTGGTCATTTGCCAATAATAAAACTTTGGCCTTTTTATTAAGAATTCTGTCTTGGTTGTAACTCAGTTTTTAGTGTCAATATTTTTCTGTATATTCTTTATTAAGAATTCCTGCTAAAACAACAGCAACCCCTCAGTGGGCTGCTACAATGGCATGGAAAAAGGGTACACATGACATGGAAAAAGGGTACATGTGACATGGGAAATGTTTTCTTGCATGTATTTTGAATGATGAAGTATTATATATTCAGTGACATAAATATTGAGACAAGTGATAAAAGGTTAACATAGATGCCACTCTATGCTTCTGGTTGCTAGCATATGAGTCAACTACTGAGGGTTTTGTGAAATTGCATGTTGCATAAAGAAAGATTTTGTTTACTACATTTAATTAATCAGTTGTTATATGTTCCTTATTTTCATTGGTAACTGGGACCCTGTGTTGGTTTTTTCTGTCAGTTATTGTAGATATGTATCGATACATATACTTCTTCCTTTTTACTAAATTTTTAACCAATACAAGGCCCAAGAGCCACTCAAAGTAAAAGGTTATGAGTGAAGTTGTTATATGAACATAAAAGGAGGAAATAAGTGAAGCTTACACTCAATGGGTATCCAAAGGTTTTCCACATTTTGAGTTTGGTTGTTGTCATTATTAAGATCCACAAAATGCCGCTGATCAATAATGACGATTTCAAACAAAGAACATTTATAAAATTAACACATCTAAAGAATTAAAATGCCATTTAAATGAAGCAGAACTTTGACAGATTATTTTACACCACTTATGTGAAAGATTACCAAAATAACTTTATTCAATTATGATTGGTTAATGTGCTTAAGTAATGAAGTAATTGTGAATAATGACTTGGCAACAATTTACTTTGTTGGAACTAGCTAGGTCTTTGAAAGACCTCTTTCTTCATCCCATCAGCACACTGATACTAACCTCCATGAGAGTGACTTGTTGCACCTTCTCAGGCTAATATTTTCAGTTGACATAAAGTAGAAAGATTATATTGAATCCAATGCTAGGTCTGCTAGTTGGTTCACTGTGTTGTGTTAGACAATTTTTTTCCTTTGAATCTATCTTACATATTTATAAGCCTACCATTTATCCATGCTTTGAATATTGCTGCCAAAAATGGTCGGGTGTTCCTGCTGTATATCTAGAGATTCTTGATAAAATCCAAAAAAGCATCAGTAATCTTGCCTGCAGCCACTTTCTCATTGCTGTAAAGTAGCTTCCCTGTGTCTTTTCAATAAATATTTTCATGGTAATTGTTCAGATAAATTTTTTGCTATTGTTATGTTGCTAGGTGTATGCTTATTCATGTCATATAAGAATGAACACACAATTCAAATCTATATATATTTTATTTACTATTGGATGACAATAGATGTAAAATATGACCAGTGATTACTGGTAGATTGAAGTTTGATACGTGACATGTGAGGATGCATGACTTCCATCTTGTAATCCCCTTTTGCCTCTGTACTCCAAATGAGTTCTGATCAAAGTGCATAACAAGCTTCCCATTTAATGAGCAAGTTAGCTCCCTTTGTATGATGTCCATCTTAACAGCTATGGTACCTAGACTTTATGAATTTAAGCAATGTACTAAATTAGTGGAAAGGTCTCATCTATTCACAGTTGAATTGGTTAGAGGTAACTGTAAACTGCTAACAGTTTCTTTTCTCACATTACTCACTTGTGGAACTCTCTTCCGGCTCTATGCTTTTCAGCCAACTTTGATCTTCACAAATTCAAAAGCAAAGTCAAACATTCTTGATTACTCTTTTATTGTTCTCACTCATTTTTTTCTCTTTCTTCTTATTATTTCACACTCAGTAACCCCTTGTATCTTAGTGATTTTACTACCTTGCATGGGGTGAAATAATCAAAAAATTTTTATAAAATTACCCAATTTTTATTTCGATATGGTTTGAGACTTTGAGGTGAAAACATCCAGTTGACTTTTAACTATACTTTTTACATTTTCTAATGAAAAATTCTTAAACTCTATACATAACTTCAGACAAGCCTACTAAATAATAAAAAGCGAATGTCAGTGTATCACTGTGTCACACTTTTCCAACTTTACTTCTAAAGGCCATTGCCCAACATATCATACCATTTAGGAAACAGGCCGATTCCGTGAGCAAATTAAAAACATTCTGAAATTTTGTATTCCCAAATTTTCATTACTGTGATTGATTTCTGCAATTTTTTTATGCGATTTTTTGCAACAAATTTTTTTGTACGATAACATTTTTTATAATTGGAAATAAATTCGGAAATAACTGAAATTAATTGCAAAATCCTGTGAAAGTCACCCATGAAATAAAAATAATTATTTATACGGAAAGTAAGGACCTACATACATCATTTTGTCTTTAAATTAAGTGGTGGCAGATGAATTATTGTTGAACTTTTAAAAGGTAAGTTTAAATATTAATGCAATACTTAAATTCAGCTATCAATTTTGAGTTCTTCTGTAATTTATTGTTACCTATTGTATCTCCTCCTCCTTATTTCTATTGTGATAAAGGCCCAATGAAGAGCCCTCCGCAGGAGCTAGCTTAAATGCCACCAGATAGGGCAGCTTTTAAGATAGTTTGTTATATGTTTAAAACAGTAAAGAAATATAGAGAATATTAAATACATTTTATAATTCTTTTCTTTCTTTTCCTCTTCAAAAGTGTTTTTAGTAAGTCTCACCTTTATTCTCTTTTCTTTGTCTCATTGTTCCTTTCCTCTCTTCTTCTGAATACTACACTCTTCCTGCTATACTTTATTTCCCCTTTCTTTCTTTTTTGTTAACTCAATCCTTATTTCTGCATTTTTTTTTCTTCTATAATCTTATCTTTTCTCAATGTCTCTTCTTTCCTTTCCACCATTTTACCTGTCTTTTCTTTTTTCAATTTTTGCTTTCTCTTTTGTTTATTTCCTCCTACTCTCTTCTTTTTCTCTTCTATTCATTATTCTTCTTTCTCTCCTTCCTTTCTATTTCTCTTGCTTTTATTCTCTTTTTCTTTTTCCATAACACGATTCCCTTTACACTCTTCTTTACTTCTTACCTCGTCCTGCCATTTCAATAAATCATAAAATAAACAATTTATTACAGCTCTGAACAACTCTAGCTTCTTCAAATGAAACATTTTACCACATTCAGGACTAACGTTTTTTTTGCTAACATTTATCAGGCAAGAACAGAGCAGTTAGGATTCCCTAGAGATTAAATAGTATCATCAGAAAACAGATATTAGTCAGAGCAGAGGACAAAATGAAGACAAGGTGCAAATTTCAAAAAGGAGACATTATATAATTAATGTTCTTTGCTTAACAGATAAAGTTGTGAAAACATTAATTAACATCAGTTGATGCTGAGAATGCGTATATGGTATAATTTTCATTCAGAACATAAAACTTTTTTTGGCAGAAAGAAGACCAAGTTCCTTGCATATTTGCAAATAGATTTTTTTGATTCAGTAAATCAAAAAGTAAAGCAAAAATTAAAATCCAAAAGGATCTTTTTTAAATTTTCATTTTTTCCTATTGTTTCATCTCTTCTTCAAGAGTAATCTTCACTATCAGTAAAAGCCCCTGATTGTTGCAGTATTACAGGAAGTTACTTAATTTTTTATGTCCTCGGGACTGATAATGATGTTAAATCTCTGATAGCCATCGTTCTTGTGTTAAATAGATAATTGGTTTTGAACAAAAGTTTGTACTTTTTCTCAAGAGGTAATGTTTGAATATGTTACAGTATATAGTGATGAAGTAAAGGCCAAATTTACTGTCTATAATACCATTTATTGTTAACTCTATTTGGTTACAGTGTTTAAAATGGTTGACTATCATCATAGTTCATTTTTGTAATTTGAGAGTTCATACAGGGTGATTTTCATGGTAGTTGTTCCAAAGATCTTGCCTCTACGGTACCTCCTAGAGTTTATGAATTTAAATGCAGTACTATATTGGCAACAAGGTCAATTTACAATCAAAATGGCTAGATGTAACCATGTTTGATGCTAACAGTTTCTTCTCTTGTGCTTCTCACTTGTGGAACTCTCTTCTGGTTCCATTTCTTTCTGTCCAATTTTGATCTTCAAAATTTAAATGCAATGTCAATTGTTATCTTCCTGTTCTTTTATTGTTCTCTTTAATTAATAATGATTTTTTTTCTCATATCCTCTCACATTCAGTAATCATTTGCATCTTAGTGGCTTCATTGCCTTGCTTGGAGTGAAATGATTAAAAAAATGCAAGTTTTACAAGGAGATTTTTATTTATACTGTTTATTTAAGCTCATCCAGACTCCTTAGCCATCCAGCTGAAGCTTTCAGTTGTCAGTCTCCTATCTGTAATACCAGCGTATTGGACACAATGTAATATTTGGATACATTTGTTGGATAAAAAGAAAGCATGCAATAAAAAAAAAAGAAAAGAGATGGGTTTTGCTAATATTTGAATGCCAGTTATCTCCTGTTAATTTCCCTCTCCTTGAGGACTCATGGCCCAGTGGATAAAGGCGTTGGTTAGAGTGTGAGTTCAATACCTGGTTAAGGCAGTGGAGAACTTTCAGAGGGGAATTAACAGGAGATAAGTGATAACTGACATCCATTAAACATGGCATGTGGAACTAGAACAGTCTACCCCAGTGAGCAAAATAAAGAGTTCAGTTCGACATTCCAACCACCTGAAGAAGACCAGAGCGTACAACAGCCGAAATGTTGTAATAAATATGGCAACAAAGATGAGGACAATAGTCCGAATAATGTAAATAATGTAAATATATGGTTGAATATAATTAGTAATTAAAATATGGTAATGAACTAGAATTGTCTCAGTAAATATTTAATTCTTTTTTTTTCTTTTTTTCCTGCAAGTAATCTTTCGTGTAAGGTCACTCAATATGAGGTGAAGAGTTATTTTCCCATAAGCCTAAAGGGAAATAACTCCAGCAACTAAGCTAATCCTCTATGTAAGCATTCTTACTCTGGACAACCAAACAGGTTTGTTTGTATATTCTGCTATTTTACTCAGTTTTCTGAGTTCATTGTTCATTGGAGACCTGACAGTTGAACGTCTCCCCCCAGTCTCATTATGGTGTCGTAATTACCATCTAATCTGACACCCAATTACAAGTGTAGTGCTTCTGAACCTCATTCAGTTGACTTCCTAGTTAAACGAAGAATGGTAAATATTTTGCCCCAGTCTGGTTCACTATTCTGTTAATTTTCTTTCTTATTGATATAATGGAATATGCATACACCTGAGTTCCCCGTCACTGGAATATGATTGGCTGGTGTCAGTCATAAATACAGATGGACATGTAGATATGACAGAGTTTAAGTCTATGATGACACCCATTGGACTATGCCATTGGCTATCCTATTGGTCTACACCTATTACCTGCGACTATGACGAGTACCAGTTGATTACTGCTACTGTGTACTACTTGGTTATAGTAGCTAAACCCACTTAGCTACTTCGATCAAATATATCCCTTTTCGGGACATATCACTTATCAAGGAAAGTAAACAGTTTAGAACAATAATTCCCAAACATTATTCAGCTTCCCCCCTACTTTGACTTTCAGGCCACATCTCTAGCACTTCCCTCCCATATCTATCTGATTTGGTTTGGTTTGGTTTGGTTTGGTTTACAATATATCAACCTCAATGGGTTATTTAATGCCAACAAAATTTTTATTGCTAGTAGTATGTTTTATTTCAAAAATCTATTTCTGGAAATATTTTTCCTTGAAGAAATCTATAGCTGATCATATTTTTTCCAAAGAATGTATAGCTGTTTGTATTGCTAGTATTTTTTTTTTAAAGTATTGTTGATAATAATTTTTCCTTAAAAAATTATTGCTGGTAATATTTTTTTTATTACAAAGTATTTCTGGTATTAAAACCTATTTTTACACAAGTTTGGGTGTCAACTATTTGCCCATAGCTGGGACGCTAACAGGTGCTACCACCCCGGGTCAGGGTGGACCTGGGAACACCAGCAATTAAGAGGTGGTTCCATGCTCCTCAAAACCTCCTGATCAGAGGCCTTGCTGTTGGATGTAGTTTATCGTCTTACCCAGGACGCCCCATACCTATATGAAGATTTCGTATAGCAGATTCAAAACAACAAATCATCTAACACTGTAAACACACATATACATTTCAGCTTTTTCTTAGATGCCATTAGATATGTTGCCAGATGAACATCCCTGGTTATAACACTACACTCACACCTAGAGCATTAGTCCCAGAAGACATCAGCTGTCTGATGTGGCTGATGTGTAGCACGTCCTGTCCAGATAATGACAGTAAGATATAAAAAAAGGTTTGGACTTTTAACTCCTGACAAAAGATTAAAATGAAATAAAACTACACATCCCTGTATAACTGTTATGTTAATTTTATTTTTTTGAAATCACTCTCTCACAGACATTGCCGTCACCTCCCTCTGTCTTTTTTACAAATACTTTCATGGTAACTGCTCCGATGAGCTGCTTTCGCTGGTTCCCAGACTTCATGAATTTAAGTGTTCTACTAGGCTAGCATCTCACTCACACCCTTTCACTGTCTAAACTGTTAATTGTAGCCGTCTCTTCTACTTCAATAGTTTCATGTCTCCCACCTCTCGCCTGTGGAACTCCCTCCCCTCTTCCTGTTTCCCTGATAGCTATAATCTCCAACTATTCAAATGTAATATCAATTGACATCTCCAGATGCCCTGATCAATCCCCCTATCCTCCTCTTCATCCTTTCCTCTATCACTCCTATTTGCTCTTGGCCCAACTCTCTGTAACCCCTTGCGTGCTAGTGGCTTCCCACCTTGCTTCAGGTGAAACGCTTAAAAAAATGCAAGTTATTTAGTTTTTATAATGTAAATTTTGTAAAAGAAACTTACTTGTTCCTAATAACACCTTGCTACCCTCAACCCCCACTTTTCTAAGCACCCTTTTATTGTCCCCTCTTTACCACAGCCTGGATGTTTCTTTTGTCCCAAGGGGAAACACCAATTTATAAAGATATATCATATATAGTATCATAAATATTTATCATATATATTATATTTATGATACTAGGTTGAGTCAAAAGTTTTTTTTTGTATTTCAAGTTTTAATAGTACAAACAAATTACACATGGAAAGCATTTATTCATCAAAATATATTACATTATATTCTATTGTCTGTTGTCATTGTTGTGAGCAATTCCATGCTTATACCAATTTGGCTGGTTCAGAGGCAAAAACTTTTCTGCATCCATTTTCAACCTCATCCATATTGTTGAACTTCTATACATGCAAGAAATGAGCAATAGGGTGAAAAAGTGGTAATCTGATGGTGCAAGGTCTCGAGTATAGGCAGTTTGACACAGTTCTCCCAACTCCTCAAATTTGTGCCTGGTTACATTGGCAGTATGTGCTGGGGCATTATGAAGCTGTAGGAGAGCATGTCTTCAGTTGAGCAATGCCAGTTAGTGGGCTTTCAAAGCATCGTCTACTCATTACCGTTGTTGAGCATAAAGTAGCTTCCCTGTGCCTTTTCTATAAATAGTTGAATACAAACATTTCTAAAGCATCTCATTTCAGTGGAAATAGTCAACATTGCAAAATATAAAGGAGTGTTATTGTGTATAAATTACTTGAAAACTTCTTGATTTTGACATTTGCCACTCAAAAAGCAAGCATTTAATATCATTCTCTATCTCAGATTTTATAATAATTCTCAGTGATTATTTTGACACTACTGTGTAATTTTACTGCTATCAAAACCATCCAATATAGCTCTAAAGTATTCAATAAAAATTATGATTGAGAAATCAATTTTCATGTACTTCTTCACCCAACTTATATGTTTTCTTTTGTGTTGCTTACTTGCTAGGCTGAGTCAAAAGTTTTTTATATTTCAAATTTTAATTAATAGTTCAAACAAATTACATATGGAAAGCATTTATTCATCAAAATATGTCCTATCATATTCGATTGTCTGTTGTCATTACTGCATCAAAAGCTCCATTATACATTAACAGGTTGCAATGGCTAAATTGTCATCTAAATTATGCAAAAATGAAAATAACACTAACATCTC